CCTCAAGAAAGGCAAGGGAAAAGACACGGACGACAAGCCTGGAAAGTTCCCCAGCAGCTTCGATAGCGCAGGCGACTCGGCAAGCAAGCGGACGAAGCTGACCGAGGCAATGGAGAACTCCCGCAAAGGGAAGGCGCTTAGCAGCTCGCGGGAGACGCAGCAAACCCAGCAGACGCGTCTCCAACCTCAACCAGCGAGGAATGACGATGCAGAGGACGAATGGGAGGAAGCCGATGAGGACCAATGCACGCATGACATGACGATTGATCTTAATGAGCCTCATTCGCGGTCAGGAAAGTACTGGAAGTCGGAATTCGAGCAGTATCACCAGGACGCTAAAGCCGAGATGGAGAAACTGCTCAAATACAAGCAGCTGGCCAAGTCCTACGCCAAGCTGAAAGACGCCGAGGCTATCGACCTGAATGTGAAGCTCAAGGAAGAGCAGGACAGGGTGGCTCAGATGGAGCAGAAGATTGCCGAGATGGCGGCGCAGATAGCCGCAAAGCGCGTCAGCGGCGAAGAAAGAGACAATCCCCAGCTTATGAAGGACCTGGCGAAGCAGACTGCTGTTGCTGTCGAGTACAGGACCCAGGTCAAGGAGCTAGCGGCTCTGCTGGAGGGTCGCGACGATGACGGCGACCCCCATACGCGCAGACGACAGACAGCCTCTCCACGGACGCAGAGGACCCTTTTGGAGACGCAGCGTGAGTTGAGGAAAGCCAGGTCTCAGGTTAAGGAGAACAACCAGATGAAGGAGGAGATCGAGAAACTCAAGTCCGATCTGCTTTTTGCCGAGCAGCGAGCAAACAAGTTGGCCGAGGAGAACAAGCGTTTGGCCGAGCAACAGCCTCTCCCGGATCAGGCCAAAACAGCTTCATCTGCCGAGCTGGAAGGGCTAGAAGAGTTGCGGGAAGAATCACGCCAGAAGGACGAAGAGCTGCGCCGGATCAAAGCAGACTTTGACGCCTACAGAAAGGACGCCGAGGCTGCGCAAGAGGATACGAGACGCATCCTTGAGAAAGCCACCGACAAGATCAACGACCTGAAGAAGGAAGTGAAGACGCTCAAGGCGGCAGGGGCTGTCGATGGACACAGGCCGAAGACGTCCGTCAGCTCCTTGCCTGAGCGAGAGACTGCCGAGAAAGAGAGAGGGCATCGCAACCATGACAAAAACCGTTTCGATGTTGCTCCCGTGCCGATTCGTCGCACATCGAATGACACGGGCTCCAAGCGACGGAGTCTCGAAATTGTGGAATCCCTAGGCAGAAAGCTCAATCAGTCCAAGTCTCACAATCTTCGAGACAAGTACCATGAAGACGCCGGTTCCTACTCGTCGGGAGAGGAAGACCTTGTCAAGGCGCGTCCCAAATCCGAAATCCTCTCTGGCAAGGTCACATTGGACAAGCCTAGATGGCGGCCATTCATCCCCAGGTCCCCTCGCAACAGAGCATACCTCGGATCCGAAATCAACGAGCGAATCGTCAGCTCAAGCGAAGTCCCCTCAGGCACCACACCCGCGCCCCGGCATAGGTTTGCATCCAAAGAGAACGATCCGCCCATCGACCTGCTTCAAGACCGATTTGCTCGACTTGGCATGCCTGAAGCCGATGCTAGCACCATGGCAGCAAACACGTCAAAGAGCACCCTGCCACCAGAGCGGCGAGCCGCGGCTATTGCACGAATTGAACAAAGAAAGGCTGAGAAGAGGCGCGCCTTGGCAGGCCTGAATAAGGAGAACATGAGACCTTGAAGATGGAATGACGGATAACTGCACGGGGCGGCAATGTCCTCGCCCGTTTTGTTTGGAGTTTTGGTGTGTGTGGGAACAGAATTCAGGCATTGTACATATTGTACTGGTAATTTGTATACTGGGTAGCATGGTGTTCCGGGGTATCATACCAAGTCGGAGTTTCTCTAATAAATCCGACAACATTTTCACCGCATTGCCCATTTTTACTTTTAGTCTTTTTACTTATTTTTGACGTCACCCGCGTTTATGCGCTCAGAGTTCCCTTGGTGCTGGGAACCTCACCCTCCTTACCAGCGACACGACTCGTCGCCATCTTGACAGCCACGGCCAGGGCCTTGAAGGCGCTCTCGGCACGGTGGTGGTCGTTCTCTCCATGCAGGCAGTGGACGTGCAGGGTGACTCTGGCGCCCTGGGCGAAGCTCTGCAGGCAGTGAGGAATCATCTCGCAGCTGAGGTCTCCAATCTTTTCTCTCTTCAATCCGAGGTCGACGACGCTATAGGGACGGTTCGAGAGGTCGATGACGGCGCGGGAGAGGGCCTCGTCGAGGGGGGCGTAGGCGAAGCCGAAGCGGGCGAGGCCGGTCGCACTGCCAAGGGCGTTGGCGAAGGCGTATCCGAGGGCTATGCAGACGTCTTCGGCGGTGTGGTGGTCGTCGACTGTTTTGCGCAGAGTGACATGTAAGCGAGGGGATGTTCACGATGGTGGGCGAGGAAACGGAGAGGGAGGTGACGGACTATGCAGGTCGCCCTTGCAGATCAGGGCCAGACTCCAACCAGCGTGCTTGGAGAGGGCATGGAGCATGTGGTCAAGGAAGCCGATGCCCGTGTTGACGCTGATGGTCTGGGACTTGCTGGACTGGGAGGCGTGGCCGTCACCGAGGGCCGCGGTGAGTCTCGAGTCGGTGTCGGGTGGGAATGCCCCGCCATCCAGGTTGATGGCGAGCTGGATCTTGGTCTCGTTCGTGTCGCGGGCGAGGGCGGCCCATCTGGGAGGGTGGGAGGTCGACGACATTTTGCAGGGTGTTTTGGAGGAATGCTCTCAGACTGATACGCGGAGAGGAGATGTCTTTGGAGACGTCGTGGATTTTCCAAGAATATTTCAGCACTTTTTTTCCTGAGTCACTAATCTTCAAACGCCGCCGTCGGAGCTCTCAGTACACTAATGGTGGCGGTCGACGTGGGGGGCATTGGCCAATTGCAGTGCGGTAACTGTCAGCGACCTTCACCACCCGACCTGGAGGTTCCCAGCACGAGTGTCCCGGCGCGCGTCGCCCACCATTCAGGGCGGTTTTCACCGCTTAGGCGTGCCCCACCACCGAGCCCCTGCGGCAGAAAAACGAGTTGAAAAGCCCGAGGCTGAGGGCGCTTCTTTGTCTTTCCAGCTTAATAAAATCCTTCCCCCAGAGGACACGAGTTCACAAACGATGAACCACATCAGCGCCGCAGCCTGGTGTCTCTGATTGGTCCTCTTCCACACCACCTGCAGATAGAAAAAAGAGGGTTCCTCTTACTTCTGCACTGCCTGCCATCTGCAACCTTGCTATCCCGCAACTCATCGAAAACTCACTTTCCTGCTTATTTCACCATTCGCATTGGAAACACACAACAGCCCTTTACTTTTGGGGTCGTGTACTGAGACAAGATGTCGGAGATGCTGGATGCCTACTGGCAGGCGCCGCCCATCGCAAGGTAAGCTCTTTTCACCTCATCTCACCATCACCTCTCACATTCACGATGCTGATTTGAGCCCCCTCAGAACCCTTGCGACGGCCGCCTTCGTCACGTCTGTCTCTGTCGTCCTAGGCTTCGTGAGCCCGTACTGGTTCATCTTCATGCCGGACTACCTGTTCAAGATCCCGCCGCACATCTGGCGCCTGGGCACCAACTTCCTGCTCACGGGTCCCCAGCTCGGCTTGCTGTTTGACACGTACTTCCTCTACACCTACCTGACCGCCCTCGAGGTCGGCAACCCCCGCTTCCCCAGGCGCGAGGATGTCGTCTGGTACCTCATGTTTGTGTGCACTGTCATCACGGTAAGTCACTTGTCGTCACTGCCTTGCTGTCACGGCAGCCTGTCCTTGCCCAACACGTCCATCATTGTGTGGAAAGTTCCTCCCATGTATCACATCCGCGAAAGAAGCACTCGCGAAGAGAAGAGAATTCTTCTGCACCTCTTATATCTGCCCGCACAGTGGATTCCCACAGCTGTAGCGGTTCCTGGAACAGAGGGAGATTACCCTCACGGCGCGGTACAGTCCACCTCAATTCGCTTTAGGACTGTACTCGTGGCGTGGGCATGGTGGGATGTCTTTGGATGGCTCGGGTAGCATTCAATGCTGCTCGAGTGGTTTTCTTAGCGCCCTACATTTTACCACCCAACACCTTGGGTTTTTGTTTTCATCTGTCGTTCCGTTCATCATGACACCATTTCCATCATCAAATGAAGATGAAATCGCTTGCCGTAGAAAACAAAGCGCTAATATCGCACACAGGCGCTCTGCACCTACCTCATGGGCGGAGGAGCCTTCCTGCCGGCTTTGATTCTCGCCATGTGCCGCACCGTCACGCAGGACCAGCGCGGAATGAAGGCAAACTTCTACTTCGTCACCATCCCCGCCCAGCTGACGCCCTTCTGCATGATGCTCGTCTCCCTCCTCTTCCCTGGCGGCTACTACAACTTCATGCTCCAGCTCATGGGCTTCCTTGCCGCCCACCTGTACGACTTCCTCTCCCGCATCTGGCCCGAGTTCAGCGGCGGCCGCAACCTGATCCCCGCGCCCGCATTCTTGTCCAGGCTGGTCACCACGCCGCGCTTCTACCGCCGCGACTATGGCACCGCCGTGAACAATAGCGGTCGCGCCCCCGCAGGAGGCCAGTCCTCGGGCAGCAGCACCGGCGCCTCTCTGGGCAACGGACCCCTTCCCGACTCGTGGAGGACGAGAGGCCCTGGACGCCGTCTGGGTGATTAAGAGGCGGTAAAACAGCGCGCTGTACGATAGATGTGTCAGATACCACCTTTTTTGCAACCATTGCAGAGCATTCTCGGAGTTTGCATTACGAATAATACTGTATTCGTCCTTGAGTTTCTTATCACTCGTTGACAGTTTAGTTTCCCTTACGCCGTGATCCCAATTCGCTCAGTGAAATACAGAAAGCCGACCGTTCCGGTGCTCCAAAAACACCCCGTTTCTCCTATCGGAATCGTCATGAGCGCATTCGTCTTCATGACGCCGTTTTTTTCCTTCTTCCCTCATCCGTACAGCGTGCTCTTGCCGCTGCGGATGGGCATATCGCCTTCGTACGTCTCAGGGTCCTCCCTCTCGGGCGCGACGTGGGATATGACCGTGCGTCCAGCTAACGGTCTGTCCTGAAACCTATCTTCGTGGGTCGTGAGTGGTTGCGAGATTTGCATATCGCTCGTCTCGCCCTTGTCCGCCACCGGCGTCGCGTCTTGGACGGTGATCTGCGGGGGCGAGTACTTCTTCGGCACGCGGATGCGCGGCACCGACGGGAGCACGAGGGACGGTATCCTCGACGACGCCTTTCTGGCCGGCGGGGGTCCCGGCGGTGGTGGCGGCGGGTTGAGGCGCGTCGTCTGCGCGGACCGGCGTGAGTCGTGGGAGTGCGCCGGTGACGGTGTTCGCGAGACCGCTGCTGCTGGCGGCGGCCGGATGGCGGTGAGGCCCTCCTCGTTGACGGCGTTCAGGTATGTTTGCAGGGCGTACGAGTCTGGCGTGTTTGTTTTCCTGGAGCTGGGCGGGTGTGTCTCGGTCTGGCGGGTCGACTGCCGGCTCATGGCTCGAGGGATGTAGGCCGGGTGTGTCGGGAGGGCGTTGTCGAGGCCGTGGTTGTTGGAGCGGGGGTCGAAGTTGTAGTGTGCCATTTCCCGTCCGGCTTGGATGTCGGACTCCATCTTGTCGTAGTAGTCGGCGTTGTTGGAGAAGGTCTGCTTCTCTTGGAGCTCGTAGTTGTACGAGTTGATGGATGATGATTTCTTATGGTCTCCGATGGGGACGTAGGGGCCGTTGGTCATTGTTGCAACGGAGCCGGAGTGGCTCCTGGGCGGGTGGGAATCATGGAAAGACGGTTCCTGTTGCGCGCGTTGTTTTCTTTGCCTGCGGCAGTGGATGACGAAGAGACAGATGGCGCCGATGAAGACCAGACCGCCGCCTACGGCGATGCCGACGATGGTGCCGGTGGTCATTGTCGTCGCGGACGCCCCACCATCGCCTGGCAGGGTTGTGTTCGTTGCCGGTGCGGTGATGTTGACCGCGTTGGATGAGAAGAGCTCGCCGGTCAGGCCTACGAGGCTTCCGTTGGCGGGCTTCTGTTCGCAGCCGGCCTTCAGAGCAATCAAGACTATGGTTCCGGTCAGTGTACTGCGAGGGAAAGACGTGTTTGCGTGACACTTACAGTTGGAAAGATAGCTCTGGCTGTCACTGGACTGCAAACACTTGACACAAGGCCACCAGCTGCTCGAGAATTTGTCACCGTCGGCTGTGCAGAAGTCGTATGAGGTCGCGGCGTTTGGTGTGTCGAGACCTGATGCCAAGGCGGTCTTGAGAGGTTTGCAGGCACTGGAGATGATGCACGGGGAGTTGATGTCCGGGAAGTTAAAGAGGCAGGTGTCGACTGCATATCGGATGTTATCTATCATCAACAGTCAGCGAGCCGGCTTCGAGTATGCTCCTCACAGGCCATCGGCTTACACAAGAAGGAAGCAGTGTCCGTCTCGACCCCTTTGGTGGCTTGACTATCCTGCAAGCAAGATACACAGTTCTTGAACTTGATGCCCTTGCCGGTCGTGTGGTACTGGCTGTCCTCGCAAACGATGTCGGAAGAGTTCGTGCCAGATGCTGCGGTATCGACGGTCGTTTCGTTCGTTCCACCCAAGCACAATGCCGCACAGTCCGAGCCGGGTGTGACCTCGAGTGAGAGGATGGGTACAATAAGCGAGAAGACGGCAACGAGATGCCTCAAAGATGGAGCGGCCATGATGATTGAATGCCTCGGGGCGAGGAAGGCCGTGATGGGAACGCGGATGGAGGAGAGGGTGGCTGGATGAGGAGGAAGCCAGGTAACCTCGTCAGCATGGCATATCACCCTTGGCGTAGAATCCCAATGTCGAGAAAAGACAAGACTCTATCCAGACGATACACGGATAGAAGAGCTTTCGTAAAGGAAGCCAAAGCTCATCTTGGAAGAGATCCAGATGTGCCTCTGCGGGACTCATTGCACATATACTCCCGGCTTTGCAAAAGGTAGCACCGCGGCACGGGCGATCCCCATGCAAGACAGGCAGGCGGCTCTGCAGTGACAGGCATAGTGAACGTAGACATTTGATCTATTTTTGATGGGATGGGTGTATTCGCGTTGGCTCTAGACAACGGCCCCAATCTTTCCTACATGTTGAACTTGCCAAAGACGGCAAGGGTCCCTTCGTCCTCCCCTCCAAGACGTGCGTCGTTCTCCAGATCGCCTGGCGGGGGATTTTTCCGCAGAGCTGAGAATAGCACCCAAGAAAGCAGAGCGGGTATATGTGAGTCCAATAAGATCGCGCGTAAGTTTGAACCCTTGGCCGGTGTAATCGCGCCCAGGCTGGAACCTGGCGAATGGGAGCGAGCACGACAAGATTCCTCAGCGCCAAACAAATGTATGTCGAGCTGGGATGTGAGGAAACAAAGGATGTGAATGGTCAAAGTCGATGGCCACGGGAAGTTGAAACGGGGAGGACTGGATTGAGTGGTTTTGCAGGCGCCGGCCGGCCATGCGGCCTCCTCTCTCGAACCCCTGTCCACCAAGAGGAAAGACTCCAATCAGCCATTTAGCGGCCGTCTTCCCGCGCCAAGGGGCCCGCCTGCCCACCTAACTGACAGCTTGATTGAGTTAAAGGCAGGCGGGCGGCGGGGAAATCAGACCACTTCCTTCTTACCTACCTTACCTTAAGTTGTGGCCGAGATTGCCACGCGACTGAGATCTTGAACCGGAGCGCTGAGCTTCTTCCGTCTTCTCCAGTCCCCGTCTTGGGTGACCAGGTCGGGCCTGGGCTGAGATGTGGTCGATGTGAGGGGGCCCGAAGGATCATCACTTGGCTTCTCACTGGGCTTGGAGCCGGAAAACCTTGGAAAACACTGCATGTGTTCGTTCTACATCGCAAAAATGGTGATATGAGGCTTACAAAATGTCGGTCGCGTCTATCGGCCAACTACAGGCCAAACCAACACTCACAAATGCCCTTTCTTACGGCATCATCAATACTGGCGAAAAGTTTGGTTGCCCGCCTTCATCCTGGCGGATCAAGGCAGCCACACCGTTCCTCCCAGACCGGAGCGTTGCACAGGCGAGTGCTGCTGTCGTGGCCATCAGAGGTGGCACCCGTCGTGGGTGTCGTGCGCTATCTGGCTGTCACCTGCAGGCGAATTTCCTTGAATAGAAGCGAGTGTGATTGTGGCTGCATGAGCCAACCACCTCGATGCTCCCTCACACTGCTGAGGGGTAACTTTCCGCATTCTTGCGCGAACTCCTTCATACTGCCGACCCGAACCAAGATGATGTTCTTGGGTGTTTTTGAGGGTGATGGTGATATTCCGGCATCGTGGGCTCACATCACTTCTGCAGGACATATCACCTCTTCCAAAAATAAGAGAAAACTAACTTTGCGAGCTTGTATTGTCGACTGTTATAAAAGAGCAGCGGCCCTCGCGCCTGTTTGGCCTCGACCTCTTCTCTTCGAGATTGTACTTCTCAGGTCCTCAAATCTCCATCTTTTTGATCCTTGATCATACATCTTGCCTATCTCCTTCCATGAACACCAGCTAAATATCGTCTGGTGCTGAAATACCTGTTTCCTTGAACTATTGCGATTACCGCCGAGCACACCTCGCACATTGCCGACAACCCATCTCCGCTGCTTCGAGTCTTTTTCTGGGCATGTTTTCTTTCTTTGGTGAGACTCGCTATGATAACAAACTTACCGCTACTTGTTTGCAACTTTAACCTCGCCGGGTCCTTGCATTCATAGTTGCACATGGCACTTGCTTACAACCGGACACGAGGTTTGTTGCTATTTCTCACTGTTCTTCTCGTCCAGCCGTACTTCTATTCTCTACATTCACCCGGTGACTCGGGACACATTTCTCTCGTTGAGCGAATGTACATGATGTTCCGCACTCCTTTGACTGTGTCCACCAAAACACGCATGATTATTGCCAACTCCACTGTTTGGCCTCGGAGGACCAAGTTTGCCGGTTGTCTCGCAGGACTCGTCGTCCATTCGCCACAAAACATCTGAGGTAAGCTTTGTGATGAGGCTTGTGCCAGCAATCATCGAAATTACGGATCGACGAGGGTTACCTGTGGCGCAAGTCTTGAGCTGGCACCAACGTGCCTTGACAATCTTCATGACCCTGCTCTGATACCAAGAGTCTCATGTTAACACCAAAACACCGTATCTGGATTCTCGATCCTTAATCTGGACCACGAGACGCCGGTTTGGTAACTGAGGAGGGCTGGAACGGGCCCAATTGAGCACTGAGTCCACGGGAAGGACGGGACTGCTTCGGTCAGTTGGATGTGTGTTACGCTTGGATAGGGGCCGTTTGGGTTGTACGTCAGCTTCCAGCTATCACAATTGCGGTCTCACGGATAGCAAATGCTTGAATATCATAATATTTTTCACGGACGAAAGTGACACTGAACGTGGCTCCGGCTTCTTTCGCGGGAGCTGTTGTGGACATCATGAACCTATTTAAACGGCAGTGTCAGCCCTCCTGACGATAGTTGCAGCAACCAACGAGACACCATCAAGGCGAAACAACAAAAAATAACCAAAATCATGATTCTCAACACGCTCTTTTTCACTGCGGCAATAGCCTCGCAGGCGCTTGCCTATCCCACTGCCCCTGGCGAGCCGGTTCGGGACTTGAATGCCCCAGACTGGAGTATGCTGCACTTCCGCCGCGCATGTGCCGAGGATCAGAGCAGCTGCAACTACAGCTTCGCGATAACCGAGTTCGCTTCCAAGGAATCCAAGCACTGCAATTTCACGATTAAGGCCGATGGTCGTCCTGCATACCAGACCGGCTTCTCCCTTGCCAAGTGCCCCGAGGCAGCAGAGTATAGCATCAACGGCGGCTGGAACGATCTCGGGTTCGTGACGTTGTCTGTCATCAACGTCGAAAAGAGCCTGATTTCATGGTTCTCGTACAAGGACGAGATCCTCACAAATGGCGTCGAGGTCGGACCGCAGCAGTCTAAGGTGTACTTCCACCCAATTGCCGTCCCCACTGAGGGCGAGGTTGTAGCAAGAGATAGTCACGACGACCTTGCCGGTGCTTCGGAATGGCAGCTTGTCAATGTTGTAAGATGTAAGTCAAGATTTCCTACATGCTCATCTTACCCTGCTAACTTGATGGCAAGACCTGGTTAAATCCGGAACCCCTCAGGAAACGGCGGTCCTTTCCTTCTCGATCGAAAAAGGAAACGCGCCAAGCGAGTATTGTCTCCTCATGATTCCGGTCGTCCAGCAAGATGGCACTTCCACGAGAAGCTTCTACGGCCGCGAGTGTCAAGATGGTGCCAAGGGCTGGACAGTCTCTTGGGGACAGAACGATGAGACCGATGAAGTCGTAATGACACTGGTCAAGTAAGCACAGCCCCCATGAACATACTGACTGAGGCTGACCGCGATATAGCCAAGACCAACACAAGCACGCTTTCTTCGGCTTCAACAATGTCAGCAAGGGGGTTCTCCTTGGAAATAATGGACCCAGCCCCACGAAGGACTTGCCGCGGTTTGTTTAGATGCCCATTCTTGCACCAACACACGGTGCTGGAACTGTGTTGGCGGCTGCTCCAACAAACCAAGCTGGTTAAGGGGACAAGAGAGAGAAGCGGTGTTGGAAACGCCGGCACCAATAGTTGTTGCGGTCATTTAGCGCGCGTTTTGTACGATGTGGGCGGCTCTGTATCGTTATAGTCGGTGTAGAAAATCGAAACATGGTTTCATAGACAACTCCACTGTTGGTTCGAGAAGAAATGCAACGTTATTGCGAAAACGTCACTGTTCTCTGACGTACTTGGATGTCCCGGGGCCAGCGAAGCAAATTGGTCGGTCGGTCCGGGGTAGTCCAGTAGAATCCGTATGAATGGCACACGCGAATTCTCGGAATAAAGCCGTAGGATTCTTCTGCCCAGTGGTCCTTACAGGGCGGAAGTACGGTGGCTAAATTGGTGGCATTACGCGCCGGTGGATTCGAGAGAAGAGGTTGGCTCGATGCTGCGCTGCCGTGAGTGGACGAGTTGATGACCCATGCCACAACCTGAGCGAATAGGATTAGGCTTTTCGTCGAACCCATAGAGTCGGAACGGCATGGAGGCTCTCATCCAGTAAGTCATATCGCAAGGTACCGGTCGGCAGAGGAAATCTATCAGGCGACTTGCGCCAGTAAGGTAGGCAAGGGTGCGATGGGCTGGTAAACCGACAGAACCGGGCGAGGTGCGTGACCAAATTCCTGTGCAGGAGACCCTAGCTGGGGTCGAGCTGCAGCGAGACAGACCATTCTCGTGCATTCGCAATCATCACCTGCAGATCATTCACACGCCGGCTTATGCTCCGCGGCTGGCTCGTCCACCCGGGTTATCGTCAGTAAGCAGCAACTTACGGTGAAGACGATCGGCTGTCTGTGTTGATGTTTGCGAAGTCGGCTGTGCGACGCTTGCCTGCTTGGTCGGCCATCAGCTCAAATGTCGTGGAATTCCCAGGAGAACGGGCGAGATAGCTGGAAGACGCAGTGTTCCCTGTCACTTCTGTTCCCCTTCGTTCTGATTGCGACCGGAAATATCCCAACGCCCACGATGCTCAAGGGCAGGATATGTGGAAGGCGTGTATGCCTGAGCTGGGCCTGACCCAGGACGCCCTGCGCCCGCCCAAGAAGACGGGACGTCGTGGCATCGTTTGCTTGCGGGCCAGGAGGGCTGACAATGGCTACAGCATTCCCTCGTGCCGTTGGACCATAGTGCAGTCGACAACAAGGGGCCGATCACCATCCGAGAATGTCCTCATTCGTCCGACGGCTGAGGATGGACACCGCTGGCGCGACTAGCGACGAACTTGGCAATTTCCCCTGCAAGGTGGTCATGGTCAGTCTTCCGGGGGCTCGTCGATAGGTCGTATCGTGTCTCTTCACAGTATTCAACGGGCTGGTGTTGGTGTTGTTAGTGGTGGGGTGGGCGACCCGACTCTCAGGTGCACCGTGTGCTCTCAAACATCACACCCCGGGCTCTTCCACCTTTGTGGAGCAAGCCATGTGCTTCTGGTCCGTGCTTCTTGCGGGCGACAAGTTGAAAGTGACGAGTGGCTGCAGCTAGTGACTGGCTCCTTCGAAAGCACCCTGGCCATGCGAGCTGACAGCGGCAAACGTCGCAATCCCGTTGGCTGTATCTCATCACTACCAACACGCAGCAACAATTGGCTAGCGACAAACAGGAGGCAGGGCAGATGTTCCCAAGCCTTCCCCAAGAACCCAACGTACGGTAAAGACACCACCAAAAAAGTCCCAAAGTCCTCTCGCGGTCCAAGTCTCAGTCCCAGTCCCAGTGATTTCGGCGCCCCTGCCCGGTCGCCAGGTTCATTGCGACTTATCCGATCCTTCCTTGCCCACTCCTTTTCCCCCGCCCTCCATATAGTGACTTTTCCCACGACTCTTCCTATTTCCTAGATTAGCATACGTTAGCCCTCCTCTCTTGGCCCCATCTTTCTGTCATACACCTCGTTCGGCATCGCGAAGTAGTAGTCTTCTTGAATGTCTCCGCCATCGCGAGAACACCTTCTACCTTCCATTGCGGCGCGACGTGCGACTGGTCGAGGGGTTTCAAGAGACGGAGTTTGGGTTTCTTTTGCGGTTTCTTTCTCAATCCAGGTTCAAGATGAGGATAGGCTGTCTTCAGTTCGCACCTCAGGTGGCCGATGTCGACAATAACCTCAACCGCGCCGACTCGGTTTTGAGCAAGGCGAATACCGACGACCTGGACCTTCTTGTGTTGCCTGAGCTGGCTTTCTCGGGTAAGTCGCGCTGGTTTGTGTAGCTTATCGGTATCTGTCGCTCGGATACGTCTTCATGCTGCGCGTTTGGGTGCTTGACTGCAATGTTGAGCGCTAGCTGACCCTTCGTAGGCTACAACTTCAAGTCGTTGCAACAGATATCGCCCTTTCTCGAACCGTCGGGCTCCGGCATCACTTCTCTTTGGGCTCGAACAACTGCTCTCAAGTACAACTGCAATGTAGTTGTCGGCTACCCAGAAAAGGCGGACGTTTCCAGCCAGTGGCCGACTGGCCCGGAATACTACAACTCTGCTATTGTTGTCAACGGAGATGGAGAAACAATCGCAAATTACCGGAAAAGCTTCCTTTACTACACAGACGAGACGTGGGCGCTTGAAGGAGACAAGGGGTTCTTCGAGGGCTGGATTCCTGGTCTTGGCAACACATCCATTGGCATTTGTGAGTTTTTCTCCATGCTCATATTCGTACAGTAGCTAATCTTGTTGCAGGCATGGATTTGAAGTGAGTCTTATTAGGTTCTACTTGCCAGACGCGATTACTGATTGTTCCCAGCCCCTACAAATTTCAGGCACCATGGCACTCGTTCGAGTTTGCGTTCCATGTTCTTGAATACGAATCCAACTTGGTCATTGTATCCATGGCATGGATGACCCGTGAGGATGGTCGTATGTTCAGTCGAATGCCGAATGAGCCTGATATGGATACTTTGACCTACTGGGTCACTCGCTTGGAACCGCTGATTCGGTCAGAAAATGAGGATGAGATCATCGTCGTCTTTTGCAATCGAACTGGTACGGAAGATGAAGTGGTATACGCTGGCACGAGCGCCGTCGTAGGAATTCAGGACGGCGAGGTCAAGATTTATGGCGTGCTCGGCCGAGGTGAAAAGGAACTTCTCGTCGTCGACACCAACAATCCTCCGTACGCTAAGTTGGTCTACCGACCAGAGCCTGAGAGACCATCGGCAGTTCACTCCGAGCTGCAGCAGACTGGCTCCTCTCCGTCTTCTACGAACGCATCAGGACCCGGCCCTTCGTCCTTGAGCGGGCGATCTCTGCAGGGCTTCTCGTCGCATACGCCAACCCAGCCAACGTCCCCTCCGGACAATACATCCTCAGCTTCGGTCTCTTCCCAGAGGTCTTCAAGGTCCCAAAAGTCTTCAAAATCCCAGAAAACCCAGCCTTCGCCTAAGAAATCCACCAGGCAAGCAAAGGCTCCGCCAAACATCCAGATACCGCCTCTGGACTCTTCGCCTGGCTACCTTTCCCGGGACATTCCTGCAAACTCTCCGAGCGCAGACAGCATCAATCTTCCGACCCCCACAGCCCCGAGTCCTACCCCGTTGGCGATTCGACCCAAACTCATCATCCCGCAATCGCCACCTCTCGCGCCGTGGCAGACTGCAAGCCCCATCCCACAAAGCAGTCAGTCGACTCATTCAATTCAATCGCAGCAGTCCATGCGTTCAGTACAATCTGTGCAATCCAACAGCACCGTCACTTCAAATCCTCGCCCGCCCGAGGATAGCACGCCGTACCCTCACAGCGGCGCCCCGTTGAGCGGATATCCCACCAAGAACACAGACAGGAGAATCTATGGTGGGAGTGTATCGATCAGTCAAATGCCATTCACCCCAATCACTCCATTTGACGACGGATCGCCGGTGGAAGCACGCTATTTCTGGCGGCCATCAGACAGTCTGTTGAAGTCACCCATGGACTCGCGTGCACTAGTCGCTCAACCCCTCAGCGCTCAACCAAAGAGTGCCGTGGCCGAGCCCGATGACACGAGAACAATGAGCTTCCACTTCCCGCTATTCCACGAACCGGGACCCCGGGCGCAATCGTCGAACTCCGTCCGCACAGTTGCAACGGCAGTTACTGCGAGAAAGGACAACGATAAGCGTCCGAAAGACAGGAGGCCCACCCCAGTACAAGGCATGAAGGCGCGGGCATCCAGCAAGTCAAGGGCTGGTGATATCATTCCGACAAGAGGCGCAACGCCTGCTCAAGATCCCCTTCCAGATCGCCCGTCATCACCCAAGTCTCGGAACGCCAGCCGATCTCGTACCCATGAACGTTCAGACTCTGCTCTAGGGAATCGGGAGCATGCTAAAGCTGTATCGCAACACCTGGAATCAATCTCGCATCGAGCGGAGTCTGTGAACAGAAACCGCGGAGTGCCCGAAGTGGTTGGTACTCCGCAACCTGACAGACCCTCGTCGCCAAAATCCCGCAACTGCAGTCGAAGTCGACCTAGCGAGCATCTGTCTTCCATCTTGATTGCTGCCAGCCCCAGCATTCTCAGCGATGAACATCCACAGCAAGCTCGCCCGGCCGGTGCAGATGCTCAAATGTCTCCGCCTCAGCGATCCATGTCACGAATGAGTTTCCGTGCTAGGGCTGGATCGGCGGCGGATGTTCGCCCTGGTTCCAGAAGCTCTATGACGGGCGAGCATTTCACGACTCGGCCCGTGTCTCGTACTGCCAGTCGAGGCCGACAACCCGGGCCGCTCTTCTCACCGCCGAAGATGTCGCCGCACGACCCATCTCTTCCAGCAGAGCAGTCGGCCGACGAGATTGTACGTATTCAGCGCGACAGGAAGAGTTCGATCGGTTCAAAACCTCCCGTCGAGCCCCCTGCTCCACAACCTGATTTTGCACGAGTCGAGTCCGTTGTGTGCCCTACATGTCCTGTTCATGGACGGCATTCCACGAGTTCTGCTCCGGCACCTCATGGAGCCACTTTGGGGCACCGAACACCGTCCCCTGACTTGCACGGCAGATCATTGTCGTCCCCAGCGGCAGTGAACTCTTCCAATAGCATCGATGCTATCTCGAGCAGTCAAATTGGAGACGATCCCAAGTTCTCAACCACTGAGATAGGCAAGCCGAGCGATGTCCTCTCTCTCACTGAGACGATTGAGACTATCTCAACGAATAGCCGGTCACCGTCTACCCCCTTTTTCGAACCCAAGACGCCAAAGGCAATGGTCATTATCCGCGATTCGGACGACAGCAATGGGGGCCCTCTTATCCCAGATCTGTCTCCTGTTCTCTCTGATTTGACTTGTGTGGATAGAATCGTTGGTCCGACTCCAGATGGGTCTCGGGCCATCGCGACTTAGACGTAGGGGACCACATCCAACTTGACACCGTCTTTTTGTGAATTTGTTTTTATTTGTTTTCAAGTTTAGCGGGGAGTCTGGTCCTCATGAATGAGGAGGGATCTTGTGAAAAATGTGGATACCAAAGCATTTAATGAATGAACGGACAAGAAGTCATCAATGCATGATGATATGGATGGGATGGGTTGCCTGGGTCAAGGCTACAGGATTCTGGCGACATGGAGTGGAACTGCCTTCCCACCTGTATTTATGATCAACTCTGCAAGCGTCTATTTGGTCGCTTGAGTAATGAGTACTTATCTTTGTGAAATTGAGACAGACAAATTGTGACTATTAAACCAGTAAAACATAGTGCGAAACAGGTAGCCTAGGTAGTTAGAAGACTCCGTGCACATAACTCTATTGCCATCTGAACACTAATAATTGTAGTCTAATATACACGTACGCGGACACATTGAATGAAGCCTACTCGACCGGCTGTAACAAGGTGATTGACGGAATACAAAACGAAAGAAGAAGCAAGAAGGAATGACAAGAAAGTTCGATTCTCAACCCGTCAAGTGACAGCGTTGAAGAGCCTTGAACGCCTCTGTAAGCTTGTCTTTCTCTTCCTGGAGCTGCTCCCTTTTCGCGGCCAGATCATCGTCTTCTTTGATCAACTCCTTGACTCCCTTCAAGTCGAGATCCTGCGGTATCAACTTTTCGAGGTTTCGGAGGAAATGACGCTCTTCTACTTGCATAAGAACGTTGGAGATGAAAATATCCCTAGAGATCTTGGAGAATGCTGTTAGTTGGAGGCAAAACAGAGGGCGGGTATCGCGTATACCTCATAGTGTGACTGCATCGCGTGCAGCTGGTCTTCGGCATTGTGATCCCGGTAGTCTTCCGGTAGCGCTAGTTCTCGCTGCTTCGACACCAAGTCTGTGTCGAGAACACCGTTCTTAACTCCGTTGGGCTTCCCGTTTTGCTGGGCTCTCCTCTCCCGAACAGAGTCTCGGAACACTACGTTCTGACGATGCTCCTTTTGTCTTACGAGGAAGCGCCGGTCTGAATTCTTCATCCAGTCCTGTCTATCTTCCTCAATGCGGAACAACTCATCACTTGCGTGTGTCTGCGCGTCAACCAGACGGGGAAGGAGATGTTTCTCCACGAAACGGCTGGCCACTGTCTCAGAGTTCTCAAAGCCGTCCGGCTTCAAGCCAACTTGGCGCTTGTTGCCCGCCGTCCTCGCGAACGTCATTTTGGTGATTGTCTCAAAGTACTCTTTGCAGCAGGAGAAGATGTTCTTGACGTGTTCCTCGGCAATCGCGTACCAGCCATCTGAAAGCTCCCAGAACAGGTTGTTGATGCGTTCCGGACTATAATGCCCCTCTAATTCGATACCGCCTGTCTTTCGGAGCTTTTCAGAGGCCATGATTATCTCTGCACTTATGTCTATGAAGTCGTTTGCAGGAGGAGGAGTGGGTGGTCTGTTTCCGTTGAAGAGCTCCGAATTGGGGTCGGCTGGCAGCAGTCCGGCATGAGACTGCCACTTAGCCCCCTGTTTGAAGATGCTGTCTCGAAAACGAACATCGTGATCTCGAACTCGTGATCTGAGCTTTGCCGGGCTATCATCAGGTAGTTTATTGATATCATAGCGGTAAGTGCCCTTGGCATGGTCCCGGGCCGCATCCTTGAGTCTTGAGGTGGCCTCTTGAAAGGCTTTTTGAAGGGCGTCGTCTGAGAGGGCATCGGTCAAGCCGTTGAACTTCTCGTCCTTCAAGAGCCGTTCCACCTCCAATTCGAATTTCGGAAGCTCTTTTCTCACTGCTTCAAAGTACATTTTGCGAAGCCGTAAACGCAGCTGGCTGATACCACATTGGTGAGACGACAGGTCGCTCCAGGGGTCCTCGTCGAACAGCAGCGATTCTGCCCGGTCTCTCTGCTCCATCGAAGCGCGCGCTTCAACTGCTTCAGTGTCAAGATTTCGAATGACATGCCACTTAAATTTGCTGAAGGATGAATCCCGGCCCTGCATGATTCCAACAAGAGCTCCAGGACGCTGAGAGTCCGGGGCTGTTATTGTATCAGGCTTGGTGATGATTCCAAGGGTTCTTTCGCCTGCTGGGTCGTATTGCTTACACAGGCCAAGTATCTCGGCGTTCGCAAAATCATAATTGGCAGGAACAACAGCAAGGATTGTTGATTGAGGCATCTTGACATACTTCTCAACCAATTCTCTGATCCGTTTGATGGTTGCGTCGTTGTCGCTGTGGTACATGATGAGACCTGGAAGATCAACCAGCTGCAAGGCTCTGGTAGAGGGGCCAGATATCTTGATCAACAGGATGTCATCGCTGATTAGGGTTTCAGCTGTGTCGTTTCCGAATATAACCTGGTGAGCCTCTTCCATGTATCTGCGAAGAGTATCCTGCGCATCGCTGTTATTGGCGGATCTCCATTCGAGATTTTTGAGTCTTGTCCGTTCATCCGGATCTCGGTCTCTTCCAGGTGAGATTCTCACTAGCAGAGATGCTTCTGGACTGTAGTCGAGGGTGACCTTAGTCACATATCGGGTGCACATTTTCTCGCCGGAAGGGAAAGGGATCCCTGCAATTGCTCCCAGAACCGAGCTCTTCCCAGAGGACTGGGCACCGCAGACTACGAGTTGTGGGACTTTATCGAGACGTTTGATGTTAAGATCTCGAATCAGGTCCATGGCTTCGATAATCTGGCGGTGTTTTTCGTTGTTCTCAGGGTCATGGAATAAGCCTGTATGGCTGAGAGATTGGCGCTCCCTTGCGGGACCGTCCTTCTGTGATGAAGACATGATGAGGACTGGCCGTAGACGAACAGCAGGTAGACAGTCCCAAGAGAGTGTGGATAGTATGCTTCGTACCTCAAACTTTTCAAGTTCGTTATTATATGAAGAGGGGGCCAGGTATACTCCATATGAATAACCCGAAGAACGAAACGGCCAACGCTATATTTTTAGAGAGCCTTGCTTACTTGCGTTTGTTTTTTCATGTCGTCAGCCTGCTTCGTCTTCCAAGGCTTCACATTAATCAGTAATTCGTTTTTGTCGTATTGAGAGGAATCGAGGCTGCATGCATGCATGTAGGATGAAAAATTGGTTGCCTTGCAGAGCTGAAATGCATGGATTCGTCATCACTTACATTTAACCCCCAATGTGCCCCCAATGTGAGGCTTTTCGTCATGATCGTAACATCATGTGCCCAAACAAGGCTGCCAGAACGTAACTTAGAGGTGGTCAGATTTTGCCCATCTATTCAATTATACGAGCCAGCTGAGCTCAAAGATATTAATATTAGGCTCTCGGCACAAGGTCGCCGTCTTGGCTGCTTTGGAGATTGCTATGTCTCCAACCTGTCCTTCCCAGCCTGTACACTAGAAATAATAGCCAACAACTATTTGTTCAAGCGGGTTGACGGCTTCACCACCTAACTTCTCTGAATTCTCACGACTTATCCTTGAGCTTTGCCAAAATGGAGGTTCTCGCCGTTTTTCCGGCAATAGCAGCAATATTTGGAATCCTTAGTGGCGTGGAGGAATTCCGCCTCAGACGCTCAGAACGAAAGACGTATGAAGCCTCAGCAGCATATCAGGCAGCCCTGGAGTTCACCAAAGATGCCAATCAAATATCATCACAACTTGGTCGCAATTTTTCCTCGCACATAGACGGTTAGTCTTGGCGAACGATCTCAAGCCCACGGCCGGGACGATGAACACTATGGAGAACTGATTTTGCTCTGTAGAGAAACTTCGCAACGACATAAAATGCATCCAAGGAGACATCCAAGCCATGTTGAAGTCTCTAAATGCCTTGAAAGAAAGGCCGTCTACTGAATCGAATGGGTCGCAAAAACTACCGATGATGGGAAAGGGATTCGCCGCCCGAGCGAAACAAAATGAGAAAGCAGAAGCACTGAGAAGCCAAGTCCAAAAGGCGCTGAAGAAATTCAAAGAAAGACTCGCAAACAAGAAGGCAATCGCGCCAAGCTCAGACAATGATCTGAAAAGCGATCCAAATAATCGGCGGTTCTGCTACGGCGCCATACTCTGTCAAAATGGTAAAGCCAAGGCTGCTTCTCTGTCACTAGCTATTGATGAGAAGCCTGAGAACCCACGTTGGGGATTCATCTGCCAGCACTGCAACTTGGAGGTTGGTGACTACAAGTCTCTTCGAATGAAAGCCGACGGAACTGTTCTAGAAATATCGGACCTGCTCGCGGCTTCACATCTCATGGCATGCGACCTAAAAGACATGCGGGCGTTTTACAGGTGCCTTGCATGTCACCTCGATCAGAGAAAAGTGGATTTTGCGACTGCTACAGAGCTTGAGAAGCATATGGACGAACACGCAGACTTTTCTTTCCTACCAGAACAACTTCAATCTGCGGGTGAAAAAGCTGCGGAGAGAGACGTGGAGGAGTTCATGAAGCACGACATCACAACCCATCCTGAGTCAACGACAGTGACTCAAGTTGCAGAAGATCCCGAGCCTCAGTCTGATCCTGAGTCTCTTGGAACTCTGAATGCTTCGGAAGAATTCACTCCAAGTTGGCAAGAATTGTCAGCAACTCATGAGAAAGCTACGCCAGTCCAACCAGCACCTCACTGGGCCCCCCCTGACCCTCCCAGTATCGACCAAGCAAGGCAAGATACACGACCATTTGGCGATATCTATGGGCAGATAATCGGGGTTCCGCCGCCAACTGAGGAGTTTCTAACTCCGAATTTTCATTATCCGGATAACAGTCGGGTATCGAGACATTCATCACCCGGTATCAAGTCATTTGATCGTCGACCGGTTGGGGAGAGCTCACCGAGTCGCAATTGGCCAATGGGGAATTGAAGGCGATAGCAAGATTGATATAAGATCTTACAGGACTGATTCTTTCAGTTTCATTCAATATTTTTTTTTCTCGTAAAAGAGGTGCGGAAGAAAATGGTGCACGATGTGGCAAAATCAAGAGAGAGGGTAACGACACCCATCTCTCGCGTAACCAACGTCTACTAGAACAAAGGTTAGAAGTAGCGACTAAATCCATCAACGACTAATGAAGCCTCCCACTCGCTCTCAATGTATGTTGTATTCTCTGTCGTCGTATTTATTCTCATATAATATAGTGAAGCCCTCTACCTTGGACCATATTCATAGATGTGATCTATTGTGATCTAATGGCGATCCTCGCTACATTTGCATTGGGGCTGTTAGTTTTCTCTTCAGTTTGAACACTGCAGAAAAAATTCACTTCGATTTTCTTTTCTTGAGCAAGGAAAATTTACTCCATCACTATCAGTATCGTTCTATTTGCTTCTAGTCGCGACCACCGGGTCACAATGTGAAAACGTCAACAGTATACAACAGCCTCTGCCAAGGTACGAACGGCTTTCCACTGACAGGCAGGCAGACACGATGCCGGACCCCAAACATGACTTAAGACTGAAGAACGCCATGAGAAGGTTATCCGCAGCAGCCGAATAGACGCCCATTGAACCGAGCTTGCGGCAAACTGCGCGACAAGAAGGCGATGGCCTCGATTGGCGCGTCAATGATGTGAGGACGGGGGCATCTACCTTTTCGGATAGTAATGAGACGATGATCATGTCAAAATGACCAGAAGCGCTGGGCGGGGCATGAGTTTGTTGGTCCAACATGCATAATTCGCGATTCTCGCGTTATCAATCTCCTTAGATGGTCTTCGAAGGAGGTCTCCGGGGGCCAGATGTTGATGCGAAGGAGGGAGGGGCTATTGAAATTCGGACGGCATGCTGACCAGTGCGGGAAACCAGGAACGCCATGCTTCTCCTCCTCTCAGGGCGCTAGGCCGTCCAACGGGCCTCTTCCGTGAGAATTCAAGCTCATGAGATGTCCAATCAACAATCGGAGATGGCTGCCCGCACCGGATGAGGTTGCTGAAGTGTGAATCGTGACAGGGATTCTTGCAGCTCTAGCTCGGTCGCCAGCCGGGATCATTGCATGCTAAGTGGCTGGGGGCTGCCAACTACACTGCACGCCACCTTCCACCAGGGGACTTCAGGGCGCTACGAGAGCCAGCGACGAGAGCAGATCTCACCCTCCCAATGCCAATGTTTGCCAGCCAAGCCCACAGCGGTGTGGGATCGCAGACCTGGGTCAACGGCCAACGGGCTTCTCCAGCCCGTCCAGCTCACCAGTTTCCTAGGCAGATGCATCTGCTCACCAGGCCCCATTCGTATTGTGTGTCTGTTGGAACGGCCCGGACTTGTGGTCGTGTGGACCGACCTCCTCACCTCGGAGTGAAGAGAGCAGCGGATGGGAGGGCGGGAAGTGCACACAGTTCGCCGTGCCACCCCAATTCTTCTGGACCCCAATCACACGCTCCGAAGAACCAACGAGGTGATGGAGATGCAGATGGCTGCGTCTCTCGTCACAATCACAGCGTGCCCATCTTCTCTCTCGCAAACACCGAAACACATATGAAGCGTCGTCTCGCAGTGTCCGTGGTCAACATCGCGAGTCGTCACATCGTGATATCCTCCTGACGGCGTCAATTTGCGACTCTTCCCCTTCATCGCTTGGCATCACCGTCCATAAGCTCTTGCGCAACGAACCGGACTCCCCATCACACTCCCGCAGGCATGTAACTCTGGCGACTTTGCCCCTCAGCGATTGAATCGACTGCAAACCGGTATTTCCGTGCGCGGCTGTCCAGTACATAATTCGAACGATTTCCGATTGCGATTTTGCCGGGCGGGAGTAGTAATTGACGTCTCCCCGCACTTTTCTACTACTCATAATTCTCTACGATGAGGTTTGCGACGGGCGCTGCGGCGCTCAGCCTCTGGTTGCGCCATGCGACGGCTCTCCACGTGGCGAAGGGTTCACCTTGCCAGACACTCTGCGGCAACGTGCTGGATGCGACCACGAAAGATGATGTTGTCTGCAAAGAGTCGGATTACTCTGTCAGCGCTGCCGGTTCTGTATACCAGCAGTGCGTTTCCTGCGAGTTGACGAGTGACTACTCAACCGCATCTCAGACTGACGTACAATGGCTTCTTTGTATGTTGAGTATCTTGGCCCCGGCCGAAACATTACTAACATATCAGACAACCTCCGATACGCTGTCTCATACTGCATTTTCGGGTACCCAGAAAACCCCAACGTCGGGTCCAGCCCATGTCTCACGAGGTATGTCAGCGTGCGATGGCGTTGTTCGTCTCACCTAGTAACCCTTCAAACAGAACCGCTTGCGAGCCTTTCCAAGATGCCATTAAGTACAATGACCTTGCCTCTAACGGCACCGAGTTTGACTACTGTGACAACTGGGATCACAATCAGCTCGCTGGCTGCACAGCCTGTCTCCGTGCCGGCGACAACCATTACTTGACTAATTGTATGTCTTGATGCTCAGAACACTACGGTTCATTGACTAATCAGCTTCTAGTCATGACCATCCTGGATGCTGGATGCCAGCAGAAGCCTGACCCTGGGCAGACCGTCTCTGTAGAGGGTTCTCCCTTCTCTAAGACTTCAGTCAATGCTACTGACCCGACGCCAACAAACACATATGTGCCAAACTACAACAGCGGCCCCATCTCCTTGGGCGGCAAAGTCGGCATCGCGATCGGAGGTGTTGTCGTCATTCTTGCTTTGACCGGTTTCTGCATTGTCTGGAATGGCAAGAGAAGAAGACGGGCATTTCTGAAGAAAATGGAAATGAAGCAGAAGGGTCCCGCAAATGGCTGGCCATCACCACTTAATGTCGCTGGACTCAACGGCACACCGCTGAGCCAGCGCCCTCTGCGAAGTTGGGAGAACGATACGCCAAACAGCTCCAGGCCGACGCACGGCTGGGACGAGTCTCCTCTCAGCCCGCAAGGAGAGAAGGCCTTCCCGAGATACTTCTCGCCGTACTCATCGCAATACAACAGTCCGGTGAGCGGCACGGAGGCGCCAAATATGCAGTGGCCAACCAACGGATCGGACCCTCAGCGTCAACAGCAGGAAATCGGCATTGCTCTGGGTGGCGCGGATGATTCGCAGCAAGATTGGGATGATTCTCACAAGGGAAAGGGGCGATCTGAGTCGTATGAGTTGAGAGAGGTTGACCATCAATGGGACGCGCGACAGAGGCATCCCAGCCCGCCTGTGCTTCAGCACCCGGCGCACCCTATGTATGCGGAGCACAACCCAGCTGCGTATCACGGCATTACAGAAGATGACCTCAGGCGAGGTTACATCTAAGTGGTCGCGGTCCTGGTGAGGAGTAATGAGAAGCTGTAAATAGTTGACTTGGGGCCTTTGCCTTGGCGGATCTGGGTGTTATTAGCGGGAGTTTGGAGTTGCACGATACCGAAAGAGTCTCATGAGTCTTCAGAGCTGCTCATGAGATGCAGAGACGAGGTGAAGACAATGTGAATATGAATACAACGTACATCGACAAAGTCCCGTGTTAAGCGCTTTGTGACTGCAAGGGTTCCATTGTCTCCAGGTACGGACCGTTGTTCGTTCCGCATGACGATGTTTTCCTTCGACTCTGGAAAGTCCAAGCTCAAGAGGCGGGACGGAACCGAGTCGCGTCTTGGGTCCTGTGGCTAGTCGAGTGGGTTGGCCAATGAAATCCACTCAATGGCTGTCCGACGCCACAAAGTGGAGCGGAATGGATTTTTTGGCAGCTCGCACCCCACAGCAGGAAAAAAAATTTGGATTGGGAAGCTTCAAGCCAGTCCTCCCAACACCACGAGACCTTCCTCTTGGACGTTCGCGACTTCCTTCCCACCGCAAACGCCCAACACCCGACCGACACCTTCCCTCCCCATTGAAACCTCCTATCGTTTCGGGATAAAGTCGGACAAGATGGCTATGGAAATTGTTAAGGCCTCCGAGGAGGAGGAGTTCGCCATCAAGCCTCAGGCTGCCGTCCCCCAGTTGGACACCAGCAGCTGGCCTCTGTTGCTCAAGAACTACGACAAGCGCAAGTTTCCTTTCCCTCTGGATACGGAGCGAATGCCTCGTGTAGAACGAACACACGGCTGACCGGTCCTGCAGTTCTCGTCCGGACGGGTCACTTCACTCCCATTCCGGCAGGATGCAGCCCTCTGAAGAGAGACATCAAGTCGTACATCTCCTCCGGTGTTATCAACCTGGACAAGCCCTCTAACGTATGTTATTATTGATAATGATTGAAATTAATGACCATGTGTGCTGATTTGCGCGTAGCCCTCCTCTCACGAGGTCGTCGCTTGGGTCAAGCGTATGCTCCGGTATGCAGTTCCATTCCATTCTCTAGCTCGCACGATCGCGATGCATCGCATGCGATTCGCTCCCCGAAATCGAAGACGTATCGACGGCAATGGCATCCTCTGAAGCGGACCGCGGTGGCTATATGGGCATATGTTCACGACGTGGCGCGCACGTGTCCGGCCAGGCTTTTGCGAAACACAGACAAGGATTGGTACAACGTGGAACACAATTCCAACGTCACGACATGTCTGGTCAGGCTGCATCATCGCGAGGCTGTGAGAACAAGGCACAGCGTCATTTTCGATTTGCATGCCGACTTGAGAAGTTTTCGCGGAAGGCTGTGCTGGGAACCGACCATCATGGATTGCCCTGGAAAGTGTCGTCACAATTCGCGGGAACTGCCATTGCCGTCAGCTTGTCAACGAGAGGAACGATCGAATGATTTCGGGGAGCCGCTTGCTTGGCTTTTGCCAAACTTTTGGTTGGGATGAAGAAGGCATTGCTAACTCATTTTTGCGCAGCGTTGAGAAGACTGGACACAGCGGTACCCTTGATCCCAAGGTCACTGGTGAGTAGCGACTCGTCCCACATTGACGTCTCGAACGTGTTTTGCTAACTTTCTCAGGATGTTTGATTGTTTGGTTAGTAGCAACCTTCCAGTTCCGACGAACCGCATCCTTGAGGAATTGCGACTGACGAAATTTTCTCTCTGCAGCGTCGACCGCGCCACCAGACTCGTCAAGTCCCAGCAGGGCGCCGGTAAGGAGTACGTTGCCGTCATCCGCCTCCACGACAAGCTGCCTGGCGGTCAGGCCCAGTTTGCTCGCGCTCTCGAGAGTATGTTCAATCCAACCTCACCGCAACTGCCGACATCATTGTCTGACTCGTGATCTAGCTTTGACTGGTGCCCTCTTCCAGCGCCCTCCTTTGATCTCTGCCGTCAAGCGTCAGCTGCGTATCCGTACCATCTACGAGACCAAGCTGATCGAGTTCGACAATGTGAGTAGATCCACTCCTGTCTTAGAAATATTGCTGACCGCGACTTTAGGATCGTCATCTCGGTGTCTTCTGGGTTTCCTGCGAGGCCGGTACTTACATCCGTACCCTCTGTGTCCACCTTGTACGTAACGTTAAGAAGATCACTCAGCCTTGTTCTGATTGCTTACATGAAATAGGGACTTCTGTTGGGTGTTGGTGGCCACATGCAGGAGCTCCGCAGAGTGCGCAGTGGTGCCATGGACGAGTCCAAGGGCATGGTCACTCTGCACGACGTGCTTGACGCTCAGTGGATGATGGACAACACCAGGGATGAGTCTTACCTGCGTAAGGTCATCTCTCCCCTGGAGACTCTCCTCACTGGCTACAAGCGTATTGTTGTCAAGGACAGTGCTGTAAGTTATTCCCGTTCATTGCAACCCAACTGCCCCTCACGGCCGATGCGACTTTGTGGATTATGTCTTAGACCGATTGGCGCACGAAAACAGCTGCATCCGATACTGACGTACTCCCAGGTCAACGCTGTCTGCTACGGTGCTAAGCTTATGCTTCCCGGTTTGTTGCGATACGGTGAGTTAAGCTTCATAACAACGTTACCAGGATACAGTGACATACTGACACCCTGCACAGAGTCCGCCATTGAGGTCCACGATGAGGTCGTCCTCATGACCACCAAGGGTGAGGCTATTGCCATCGGTATTGCCCAGATGTCCACCGTTGAGATGTCAACATGCGGTTTGTCCTCCTCCGTCACAGTACATTGACGATCCACAACTGACCCGAGAACAGATCACGGCGTTGTCGCCAAGGTCAAGCGATGCATCATGGAGCGTGACCTTTACCCCAGGAGATGGGGACTTGGCCCTCTTGCATCGGAGAAGAAGAAGATGAAGGCGGACGGCAAGCTGGACAAGTTCGGACGCCCGAACGAGGCCACCCCCGCCAAGTGGGTGTCTGAGTACAAGGACTTCAGCGCTCCTGCCGGTGATGCGGCTGCGGCTGCATCGGCTGCGCCGGCCACTCCCCAGAAGGTGGTTGAGACCGTCTCTACCAGCACTGTCGTCACCCCTGCCAACAACGAAGAGGACGGCAAGAAGCGCAAGAAGCACGAGGGTGAAACTCCCGACGAGCGTGCCGAGCGCAAGCGCAGAAAGGCTGAGAAGAAGGCAGCCAAGGCCGCGAAGAAGGCTGCCAAGTCAGGCGAAGCTGACGACGATGACGACAGCGAGTAAGCTCTTGTTGTGCTGCATCTTACCTCGATTGGCTCGATACCAAGTGTTTGTTGAACAATGGTCGGCGGTTGGCTGTTGTACCATAAAATTGGCTTTGGCAAGTGGCGTTTGGTTTCTCAATTTCTCTCTCCCGTTGAACATAGTACGGACTGGCTGGATAGGAGTAGATAGGTCCTATATGAAAAAAAAGTGGCGACTACGGCTGCTTGATCAGTTCAAACCAAAAAAAGTTCTCGACCGGTCGAGAATGAGACGAGAAGCACATGGCAGCGTAAAATGTCACGAATCGATGTTTTAGGCGGTTGAAACGGAAACACGGTAACCCTTGTTGGCGGACTTACGTACTCCCAGCAGGACCCCGGCGGGTTTTCAGACAGCAGCTCAGTCGGGTCCGAGCCAGCGTGGATCTCATCCGAACGATTTCTGTTTGGGAATCTCAGTCATAAACAGCGACAATATACGTGTTCCGTCCATCGTCCGAAGACGCTTTCCCTGAGAGGACACCAAAGACAGGGAAGCATTGTCACCAAGCATGTCTCAGGCCACATGCGCTGGCCAGTCACGGAAACAAGGACAACTGCCACCCGCCCTCCCTGATGCCTCATGGAATTGGGATAATGCAACCAAGAACCACGCCGTAACTGGGTATAATTACTTTAGCGGATCCTCAATGCCCACCCCCTGAGATGGCAGCACGTCACCCCGCCTTTTTCTTCTCTCCTAGTGATGCGTGTCTCTGGTGTCGTTGCCACGTTGGGAGGGGCACCGGGGGAGGTGAGTGAGTGAGTGACCTTGAGACCTTGGGACCTTGGGTTGCGCTTTCACAGCCCCTCGCCAGGATCACGGATGTGCCAGTCGCGCCTCAATCCCTCGTGCCCAGTTGCCCTGCTTCGCCCATGCCCGATCAGCGGGGCCGACACCGCCAGTTGGCGATCCCCCGTCGACCCCCGTCACCACCGACATCCCGGTTCCAGACCAACCCAAGAGCCTCCATGACGACCAACTTTTCTCTCTGACCCCCTTCCCCCCTAACGTAGGTAGCCCACATGGCAGCCAGCACATAGGGCCTAGCAGCCGACTGCCGGATGCGTGTAATCCTCCCGAGGGGCTTTTTTTTTCTTGTCCGTCTGTCATGTCTTGCTGCTATTGATCTGCTAGCCTAGCAGCTGCAGTTTTATGGGCTGAAGCCTAAAGAGGATTTGCTATCTGACCACACATCTGACGCGCGCCCAGCCCTAGGAAGAGCAAATTTAAGCAGCATAACCTGGGCGGAAATGCAAGGCAATTTTTGACCTTGGAAGCAGCGGAAGCAAGGTCGGAAGCAAGGCGAGAAGAGAAGCAGCTGTAAGGTGGGAGCAGCAGCACCGGAGAGGCTCTAGCTTCTTTTTTTTTTTTTTTTTTTTTTTTTTTTNTTTTTTTTTTTTTTTTTTTTTTTTTTTTTTTTTTCCTCTGCTGGTTCGTGCAGTTCACGTCGGGTATCCGGTCGAGCAAGACGCTGCCACGCACTCACTCACACTTCTCACCCCCGGCCCACCTGTTTCAAGCATCTGCTTTGACGTGAATGGAACAAACCCACCTAGGGCCAGCTCCCAAGTCTCTGGGCAATGCGGATCGGGAATGTGAGATTACCACTGCAAATGCGGGTGGAGGTGTGTGTGTGTGGCTGTCGGTTCTTGCTTGTCGTCGTAGTAAAGGTGTGGTGTGGTGTACTTGGAGCGTGTACCTCGTAGGTGTGTGAGTGAATGTAGTAAGGTCTAAGGAGGCATGTCATTCCTGCTCTCAATACCGTTCTCGTCTCGGGATGTAGCTGGAGCTTGGAGCAGGCGCAGCTGCTGCTCTCTCCCACATCTCGTCCTTTTCGTTCGAGTACAAGTAGGACCTCGCTCGCACGCACCTCGAGACCGGACAGCTCTTATTTTTTTCTCTGCTTCTCGAATACAGTTCGCTATGACATTCATGACGGCAGCACTTGCTTCGAAGTAATGTGTACTCGGTGTTGGCAAAGCTAAGTAATAGACCACCGTCCAATTCCTTGAGAGAAAGACAGAACGAAAGCGAATACCCAAGAGAGACCCAAGACCACCCACGACACAGACACTCCTCCTCTCATCACATATACATCAGCATCCCAAGGTCTCTTTTTCTGCTCAGACTGCAACTTTGTTTAGCTCCACGAGCGCATCACCTGGCTGTTGCTGTTCTTTTTTTGTTTACACTTTGTCCCGTTTTTTACGAGAGAGATACCTTATATAATTGTATCGTTTCTTTGTTTATTATATATACCCTCAGACCGAGAGAACAATGCTTTCAACATCATCACTATTGGCCGCCGGCCTGTGGTGCTTGGCCGGCTTACAACCAGCCCTGAGCGCACCCTCAAAGATCGACGCCCTCTACATTGTCGGCAGACAAGACAAAGTCATTGAGCCCAGACTCAACCGTGACTTCCCGGACCCGGCGCTGGTCCAGGCCGACGACGGCAACTGGTACTCGTTCGCGACCAGCAACAACGACAAGCAGATCCAGGTCGCCAAGGCCGCCGAGATCTCGGGCTCCTGGGAGTGGCTCGACATCGAGGCCCTGCCGGACGGCGGCTGGACGACAGGCAAGGGCACCTGGGCGCCGGACGTCAGACGGCTCGACAACGGGTCGTACATCATGTACTACTCGGGCGAGGTCGTCGACGGCGGCGGCAGGCACTGCATCGGCGTGGGCATCTCGGAGACCGTCACGGGGCCGTACCGCCCGACCAAGGAGCCGTGGGTGTGCCCGTTCGCCCAGGGCGGCGCCATCGACGCCGCGGGCTTCTACGACGAGTCGACCAAGAAGCGGTACGTCGTGTACAAGGTGGACGGCAACAACGTGGGCAACGGCGGCGACTGCAACAACGGCGTGGAGCCGCTCGTCGGTACGCCCATCATGCTGCAGGAGGTCGAGGCGGACGGGTACAGCAAAGTTGGCGATCCAGTGCAGATCCTCGACCGGACGGCGGCGGACGGCCCGCTGGTGGAGGCGCCGGACCTGGTGCGCACCGACGACGGGCTTTACATCCTCTTCTTCAGCAGTTTCTGCTTCAACTCGGACAACTACAACGTCAACTACGCGACGAGCCGCGACATCAAGGGCCCCTACGTGCGGCCGAGCCGGATGCTGCTCAAGACGGGCGACTTCAACCTCACGGCCCCGGGAGGCGCAACGAGCGTCGCCGGGGGAGGGCAGATGCTCTTCCACGGCGACTGCGAGCAGGGGAGGTGTCTCTACCAGACGCAGTACTCCGTCACCGGCAGAGATGTAATCATCAGCTGAGAGAGAGAAAGGTAAAAAAGAAACGAAACGAAACGAAAAGACGAAAGAGGAAATAATTTCTGTAATCATATTTTTTGTGTTACACACTCACAGCATCATCTCAGTTGTGTATCCTTACTTATTTCTCTTGTTGGGGGAGGAAGGATCTCAGCGAGCACCCAGCGTTTTGGACACACATATTTGTGCGGGTTTTACAAAGGAAAGTCTAAAAGAGACTTCATACATGATTCGGGGGCATACAGGACATTCGTTTTTTACATTTCTTGTGCGGGCGTTTGGAGGACTCTGCATCATATAGGCGATGAAGGCCCAACCGGTCGTTTTCACGAGACAAATGACAATGAAGATATCATACAAACCAAAATCCGGAACCAGCCGCAGACCGTGAACACACCATTTGGTAAGCGACCGTTGCGCGAACCGGACGGCAATTGGATGCTTTGACTGTAGAGTTTGCGGTTGGTGCAGCGAATGGGACGGACGTCTCTCAGTGACCACACCGTCAGCTCCGACTCGGCGGCGAAGCAAAGTCAGGACAAGCTTTGAGTTGCGAAAAAGAAAAGGTTCGACGCAGCTCAGTAACTGGCCCCCATGCCAACCTGCCGAAAGGGGACAGCTTCTCTGGTTCGCATCGAACTTTGTAATGAGAGGCAGGGAACCCTGGGGTTGGCGGTTGGCGACATGGTCCCACCCCCTAATAGCTAAAGTCAAGTAAAAGGGTGAAGAGGAAGGGGGGAGGGATAAGAGGGATAAGACAGGGCCCGGGCTGTGATGCCGAACGACTATGCATTGACAATTCGATGTTTTGGGGGCGCTTGAACGACAGGCAGTGTTCGGTTAAGGAAAAGAAGGTAGGCGGGAATCCGGGAAGAAAAGGGAGCATTGACGGAGTGATCGTCGCGACTGTGCTGCGGACGACTATGCCCCCACTTGGGGCCCGCAGTGGGCCGAGTGAACCAACACCACACTGAACATCGAACACACTCAGAAGCTGAACTGATCAGAGAGAGAGAGAGGTTGAGGGTGAACATGAACCGAGCTCGCGGCTTTAAGTGGGGTGCTTTAAAGGGCAGAGCACCGACATCCATCATGGATGGGGCCCAGAGACACTGGCTGGAACTCGTCAGGACTCAGGAGAAATGTTCCGAGGATCAGCGGTGTTCATTCTCTGTGATCGGTAAGCGCCCGGGCTAGATCGAAAAGGGCTGACTGTCACCTGCGTCCAACCACAGTCATCTCCAAACGCTCGTCTGCAATTGGCCACCACGGGGGAGAAGGACGCAGTGCCCATCACCTCATCGCAGTCGTGCGCATCTCGCAGCCGCCGGCGACCGTGATCACTCACACGCACACTGCCGAGCATTCTCGCGCCAGGCACAGGCACGCAACCCGCGAGAAACGCTGCAGAGAAAGGACACTATCGAATGCCGCGCTACCCCATCTGGCGCCTGCGGGAGAGCTAGTTGGTCCACGGCTGGCAAGTGCCTGCTGCTAGTCGTGCCTGAGAGGTTGCAACGGCGCACGTCGTTGGCTCGTCCTGCAAGTGCCAGGAACGGTGCCGCTGGCGCTTGTGTTGGTGATGTGCGCCGTTCGTCAGGCAAGCTTCCAGCAAACATCGTCGGCTCTCTCTGGCGAGCGGCGTTTCCTGTGCTGCTTGAGGACCGAAGTCCGGGGTCGTTACCATTTTCCTTCCC